AGCAGGGAGATGGTGCTGTCACAGTTTGATGTTCAAATAGCTGCAGTACTCTGACTTTGCCACAAGGAAAAGTGCGTACGCCTGCTCAGACCCTGACGTGGCAGTAGGTACTTTTCCACGTTAAAGACCGTTTTTATAAATATGAACGTTGCCGTGGATTTTAGCGTACGTACATTTTATAAATGAGGCCCCTGGAGTGTAACATTACATCATCATGTTGCTCATAATCCTTGCAGGGTCTGAAAAAATCTTGCATGTGATGGATATTTACCAAAACTTCAAAAAGAATAATCTGAAACTATGTTAATGAAAAAAAAACAGTGCTGAACATGAAAACAGCACTAGTGATATTTCCATTGTGAGAGTGAACTAGTGATAGGATCCTTATGGCAAACAGTGTGTGTGTGTGTTATCCTCTCTCATTGTGTATGCGTGCGAGTCTGATCTCTGACACTCTGATGGAATTATAAAGTCAGTCAATCAGGGGGAACGACAGAAATAGAGGAAGAAAAGTGCACAAATAGGGGAGGATCATGCGTCAGAAACTTCTCCTCGCACCTCGGCCACACACGGCGGAAACGGGATAAGGCTGTGAGCACGGAGCTGTTAGCATGTGTTCAGATGTGCCATGAGTGTGTCACGAGCGTTTGTGTGGGAGAGGTGAAATGTCAGAGGGGAATGTGGCGTCAAAGCGAGCGGATTTATGATCTATGATCACACACTCACAAACGCCATTATGAAAGATCAAGGTCACGACATCTAACTAGTCAAAGTGGCTTGAAACTGCATGAAACATATCAAAGATTCAAAAAGAAAATAATCCTTAGCTTTCCATTCCCCTAAACACTTTTATAAGCATGTAAAATGCACTAGAGAAGTATAATATAATATTTGGCAAGTTGGAGAAAACAGCATTAAGTCATGAGAGGTCATGAGTTACTGTGGTTTTACTATGTTTAAGGGGGATCAGTTGCTTAACAAGATCCCTTTAGCATCGAATAATCATTGTAACGCATGGCCTCTCATGGCTTACTGCTTTAATAAACAAGTATAAGCTTAATTAGAGATTGAAAAAATGACATTATAAAACAATGGATGAGCCCTTGTTTGAAAAGGCACTGTAAAAGTCAACACACACACACACACACACACACACACACATTGTTCATCTTAGTTAGTAGTTAGATTAATACAATCACTTCTGGTGGTTACTCAACTACGATGGACACCTGTCAGTTACAACCAGTGAGGGGATTCAAATGATATAAATGCATGTTACAATGAATCTTTAGCTAAACAATTTGGATTCCAGTCTAACATCATCTTCACTTTTACAATCTGGATAGTAGGTGTTTTGACGTCTAAAGTGTAAGTTACAATAGATCTGCTATCACTGGGATCATGTAGCCATTCAGAAGCAGTTCTTCATCGATCTGTTAATTTATCAATAATCCACATCCTACATTGTCAAAGAAGACCACCACTACCCCTTTACACACACACACACACACACACACACACACACACACACACTTGAATTCTATATTAATGTGCCAACCATAACCATGTTTATTGTGATTATTCAGCAGAGATACATTGAATTGACCAAACTTGACAGAAAATTATATTTCAAACAAATCCTGTTCTTGAAATATTTCTTGAGCAGCAAATCAGCATGTTAGAATGATTTTTGAAGAATTGCGTGACACTGAAGACTGGAGTAATGATGCTGAAAATTCAGCTTTGCATCACAGGAATAAATTACATTTTAAAATACATTACAATAAAAAAACATATAATTTAAATTGTAATACTATTTCAGAATATTTACTTTATTTTTCATCAATTAAATGCAGTCTCGGTGACCATAAAAGACTTTCACAAATATTACAAAAATCTAACAGACTCAAAACTTTTCAACGGTAGTGTATATTTAATAAATGATATATTTAATTTAACACATATTATAATACCACTTTTTCATTTGTGGTAAAATTAGGGTAAAACTACCCCTTATTGCTTACAGTCAACATGAAATCAAAGTCTATTTACTTTTTTAAATACACATTATTCCAGTGACATCACTGAGACCTCTTGTTTCTCAGCCGCGCACCGGGAATTACATGATTCAATAATGGCTATTTTATTTTTACAAATCCACTCGGATATGATTCGGAAATCTATGACATCATCATTATGAAAGCAAAATGGGTTATGAATGACATTTCATGGTGACTTTAATAAGCTTGATCAGAGGTACAAAACCAGCAACGAGCAGGTGAAACCTGTGTGCTGCTCTGACACAAAACACATCAAGGTCATACAATCTCTAGAGGACAGAATCCTGACATACAGCTGATATGTAGCTCATAACAGCTGGAATCAGAGTGAACACAACATCAGTAACGTCCCAACCCCAAAACACACACACAACATAAACACACAAAAACATGCACACACATGGTGGAAGGTGCTGAGCACTAAGACTGACCTCTTAACGTTCTGACTGGTGTCTGTTGGGTACAGAAAACTGAATTTGTCAGTGGAATGCCCGCTTGCCATTCTCAGTGAAGGAAAGGCAAATGAAGGAGGTAGGAAGAATGGATATGCAAATCTGGAAATGACAAAAAAGAAGGAAACAAACAAAAAACGAGAGCAGGTTGTGATTAAAAGGCAAACCATCAAGCACAAGCACAACAGAGCAAAGCAAAACACAGCAAAGCAACATAAAGCAAGCAAAGCAGTGGCCTGAGCGAGAGAGAGAGGGAGAGAGAGACAAAAAGTGAGAAGCAGCAGCAATCAAAGCTCACACACCTTCACACACTGATGGACAGATCAGTATGGGGTGAATAACGGTGCGTTGGGGACAAGCAGTGCTGGATTTAAACAGTGTTCTGGGAATGTTCTCGCGTACATGTAGATTTGATTCAAACTGCAGTCTAATCCACTTAATATCCCTTCCCTTAATTAATAAGACGCTTATTTAAAGGGGTCATATGATGCGATTTCAAGTTTTCCTTTCTCTTTGGAGTGTTACAAGCTGATTGTGCATAGATAAGATCCCTGAAGTTGCAAAGACTAAAGTCTCAAAACCAAAGAGATATTAGTGCTGCTTTAAGTGCCACCCCCCATTTTTGAACATAGACGTGAAAGTGCACTATCCAAACTTAAATTATTCTAATTCATGAAAATTTTGGAATACAGACCTAAGGTAGGACTCCTTTTTAAGACTATCTGCAGATTACTGCAGAAGTGGAATCATTTCAAAATATTAAAGTATCAAAAAGTTATAGAAGTTTAAATTTACTGTAAAGAAAATGCACTGTACCATTTTTTATATTTTATATAAAGTAAATATTTAACAAAATATTTTTGAATCCAAAATTGATATAAAATTAAAGCCTTATGTCTAGATAAGTTATGTTCCAAATTTGAAGTTGATATAAAAAAAAAATGAGGTTCCTGTGATTTTATTTAGGGCGTTATACCACAAACAGCCATCGGGTGCCATCCAAACTCTGTAGAATTTTTGTTGATGCATTTTTCTGTCACAAAGGTCTAAATTTCTCTGTCAACATTACTTTATCAAAAAATAACCACCAAATATGGAATCTTGAGACTTAGACCTTTCCAAATATATGTATTTTGTCAAGATTATAACAACTTTTGATTCTAAAAGACCGTAATACATTTTGCAATATGACACTTGACTCCACCCACTAAGGGGAGGAGACCGCTAAAAGATTTTAAAGTACCATTTCCATGGTAAAGCAATGTCTGATTTAAAAATGGCTTTCAAATGATATATAATTTATGATGATTACTAAAATATGTGAAAAAAGACAACAACAACAACAAAAAAAGAGCGCCATTGGGCCCACCTGTGGGCCAGTGGCACTTAAGGGGTTAAAGGGGTCACTGTGCAGGATGAACAAGGAATGTCAGTTCCATTTCGCATTATTACATATTAAGGACAAGCATTTTGATCAGCTTAAAGGAATAGTTCAACCAGAAATGACAATTTGATGAAATTGTGCATTCCATCACTTGCTCAGCAATGGATCCTCTGCAGTGAATGGGTGCCGTCAGAATGAGAGTCCAAACAGCGGATAAAAACCATCACAATTTTACACATCACAAGATTACAGGATAAAGATGTTTACAAATCATTGTACAAGTACTCCAACATGGAAAAAAACCCCAGTGGTATTGATTAGAATTAATTAGAATTAGATGAATCAAAATGATTAAAAAAAGGTTAATAAGGTTATCTGGACAAACTGTAGAGATTTTGTGGGGACAAATAATAATAAAAAAATATACATAAAAACATTGCTTACACACAAACCATTTAGAAAAGCAAACTGAACCGCTGCCATTAAGGTAATGCACAAACTCTGTGCCTAACCTTTGACATTTTTATCATTTCACATAAGCTAGCAGCACTTTGCATTTTCTTACCTAAATAAAAGACAAAAATCCATAAACAGCTAAAGTGGGATTCTTGTGGAGCATTTGACGCACATTCACAAATGCTGGATTGTAGATTCCTGTAAGTGGTTTTTTTTTTTTTTATGTAATGCAAGTAGGAAGTGCATCCAGGTAACAATCATGCATGCACACTTTTAATGCTTTATATTACGTGTCTTCATAAGCAACCCAACATCGCCATCTAGTGAAGGTATTGTGCACCTGCGCTTGCCGTCATCTCAGATTATTATCACTTCTGTTTAATGGACAATTCAAAGTGACATAAAGCAGTGTGCATGTTGTGTTTTATGTGCATAGGCGGCTCTGAGTCGCTGGTGTTCTGCAGACCACGAGTCATTAATCAGGCTGTGACAGGATCACCTTGAGCTGATGGTGGATGAAGGTGCCCCTCTCTGCACTAATGTCTTCCTCAGTAGGCCAGTATGATTGATGGCATGGTGAAGGATATTCAACTGCCACACAGACGTAACTGGGAAATCTACTGAAAACACAGGCGTGTGTATTCAGAACACGTTCAGACGTGATGTAATCGACTGCCTCGGGATTCTTATTCTTATCAAATATACTGATGGAAAATGAAAGACCAGATAACATGATTCTTGAGCAATAGAGACAAGATGCATGGATGCTACCATTTTACACCAATAAATGTGAGTGACCTTTTAACTTGTGATTACATGATGCTTTTTACAAATCATTTTATGGAGGATTCTATGGCAGATTTCCATTTGTATGTCAGGTATGAATCATAAATCATAAAAAAAAGACATCCTGAGATTTAAATGCATCTCAGTGTGATCAAGCTGGCTAATTTTCCATTCATAAAAATAATATCTAGTAAATTAAATATTTTACAGCAGATCATAATTAAGAAAATGCATATTCAACACATTCCTGTTATATATTAAAAACCACTTACGTTAATTGAAAACAAACATTAACAGAAATTTACAGTTATTTAGCAGATGCTTTTATGCAAAGTGACTTAAAAAATACGCACACGCACGCGCACGCACACACACACACACACACACACACACAAACACACACATATATATATTTCAGTCAGTTGCCAAGGCAACATTTCTAATTTTGTTTAGGTTAAGTTGAAGTACTACAATTACTAAAACTGAGATAAAAATGAACAAAACTAAGCAGAAAAATATAAAAAAATAAATAAAATAAAGAAATAAACAATATAGTAATGCTATTACAATAACACATATTCAGACTAGATGTGCACTTATTCAAATAAAATTATTATATCAATATTTATGGCTGTCTCTTCAGGAAATGACATCTTCACATACCACACATATACAAAACATAACCCTCAGTGGCGGTATTTGGAAAAATTAACGGAGCACACACACAGACAAGAAAGAACCTTTATGGCTCAATGACCAAAATGCAGCACAAAACTGGAGGCAGAACGCATTGAAGTGCACTCATTATTGCGAGCAGGTATTATTCACTGCTTTATGTGCTCTTCTACAAGCCAAAGACGCACAGTGACTCATGAAGGGTGGAGAATGGGGTTGTAAAGAGCACACTCGGGTAACTAACCAGTATTAAACGGCACCAGTCTGCTCTTCCTCCGTCCCTGTAGAGTCGTTCATGGGAGAAAAGACGTGCAGGAAAATGGCTGATTGCTAATACACGGCTGGTTTAATGCATAGCAGAGTTCAGAGATGGCAATAAAAACACGGCATTAACTGATATTAATGTATGCAGATGAGAGAGAGAGAGAATATTACAGAGACACAGGTGTTCAAGATTTCCTTCTTGTCTTCATTAAGGGTTTCCTTTCCTGTCCTACCTTAATTCTAGGGTTGGGAATCGATAAATGGTTCTGAATATTTAAAAAAATAAAAAAATACTGAAATTCAATTATTTATTATGTTCGTTTACATTTACAGTTCTGGAATGTCTGCTTTCTTTTATTCATGCAAATGGAACAAAATATGCATTTACAAACATACTTCCTCAAAATTACTATATAAATATTCCACAACTGTAAACATAACTGAATGTAATAATAATAATTATATATATATATATATATATATATATATATTTATATGAATTATGCACAATTGTGCTTTCTTTTTTGTATTTTTTTTTTAGATCTTGACAGAAATGGACTACGAAACTGGAACTGTCATAAAGAAACAAGCATGCTGGATTGTACAAATGATTAATTTTTTCATTATACATTAATTATCTATCTATCTATCTATCTATCTATATATATGCATGCTTATATATATTAATGTTAATTTCTTTAATGCAACTGTTATAAAATATGTAATTATGCACAAACATACTGCCTCAAAATGATATATATATATATATACTGTATATATAAATATATACAATTTGTTTTATAACTTAAAATAATATATATATATTCATTTTACATGAACTGTTCCTTTAAGAAAGCGTAATTATTGTAATCTAAATCAGAATCTTTCTGTCATCTCTCCTCAATTGCTTTCTCCATTCGACTGACTTTCACCATCTCTCCTGTCCTCCCTCTAAGCAAATCAATACCTCCTCCATTCCAGCGTCTTTCCTCCTCCTTTACACTCCCCCCCTTTCCTCAATCTCTATGAATAACTCTCCTTTTTTCTCCCTCCTTTTTTATCAGGGTGAATCTGAACATACTGCAGTGCCCTTGAGCTCTCGCTCCTCTCCTTCTCTCTCAGCTGAACACAGGGTTTGGCAGTTATGCCGGCGTTATGTAACACGCCGCTCTTTATAACACGTTGTTGAAAGGTGCATTGCATACTGCTCATTATATCTGCCCTGCAGCATCAGGAGACAAGAAACCAGATGAGGGGAAATCCAAATGCAAATTCAACCTCAGCGCCATTATAAGATGACGTGGATCTGGATTTAATTTTACGATTCAGCATGAACAACCCATGTGAGCAAAGCCTTTAGATCTATAGAAAGAAAATCATATATTTAAAATGCATTCTACCTCTAGATATAGGTATATTGCAGGGTCCAAAAAAGCTAAATAATAGCAAAACAATCAAATTTTCACTGGGACCAAAATATAGTTTTTAATAACAATACTGAAAAAAACCCCCAGTTTAATAGTCATTAAAACATTAT